TGTCCTGAACTCACCCAGATATGTGGGTTTTTCACGACAGCAATGAATTTGATAAACTTATGAAGCATTTCGCTTTATGGCCAGGCTTTTTCTCGAAGCAACCTGATTGGTAGAATTATTCTTTACTCAAAAATAAAATAATTGTATTTTAAAAGTGGGTCTGGGTAGGCCAAACTTACAGGGCCCACACATACATTTTTAACATCTGGGCCAAATACTACTTTTGATATATCCTGAATGCTGCCTTAAGGATGGTGCCACCCCTGTAAGACTCGGGCCATGTTTGGCCCACATGCTTTATGCCAGTGTCGGACAAATGCCTGCTGTGCCAGCATTATACCAAATCTGGGCCAGAATTCTTTGCTACCTGGGTACTTTCCATGCACACAAACACACGGTCTTTATTGGCAATACCCGTACGATCACTTCTCCATTAATCTTATATATATATATATATATATATATATATATATATATATATATATATATATATATATATGTGTGTATGTATATTGCCGCTGCACCTTGGTCCACATTAATTTCATAAGAGTGCTACCCTGTACCAAAATGGCGGCTCTATGGATGCATTCCTTCCAGTAGGCGACATCTAGTGTAAATATCTATGGTAATAAGCTAACACTAGTTTTGATTAGCAGTTTTCACACTATTTTCTGTCATTTATACATCCTTTTCTCTCCTTTTAAAGTCTGTGTGAAATCCAAATTTACTGTGTTTATTTTGCTAGCGAACATTCTTATTTTTTAGATGAACAATTAATCTGTGCATGTTAATCCACTGAAAAAAAAGTGTTGAAACTGAAGAAAACACTGATTCCGTAATCTTCAATCAATGTCTGACCGGTTGCTTTCACGTTTGGATTGGTGTATGGAGTTTTTTTTTTTTTTTTTTTTTTGCAAAAACATTTTTAAAGCATTGCCTTTACAAAATCCCTCAAATCAATGACTCAGACCTGCCTCCATTTAAGTGACATCATCACCTGGAGAAACAGTATCACCGAGGTGGTTTTACAGCCCTGTAGGTCCAGGCCTGCTGTAAACAGCCAAGTTCCCTTGTGTGCAAAATAAAATAACATGTCAAACTCACGATTGATTAAAAAGCAAATCAAAATGAGCCTTGCAATTGACTGGAGGTGTTTTGTAAAGGTTTCTATAAAAATGTTCTGCAAAGTATATATTTTTTTATTGCAAATATTTTAGTTTTTTGTTTGCTTTTTTTTTTTTTTTTTTTTTTTTTTTGCATTTCTTGTTTCATATTTGCAGTTCTATTTTTTTGTTTGCAAATTTCATTTTTATTTCTCAAAACGTAATTTTTCCTTTGCAGTTCTTTGTTTTTGTTAGCAAAATTATATTTTTTATTTCACAAAAATTAATTTTCACTTTGGGATTTTTAGAGATTTGCATTTATTTATTTATTTTTTTTTTGCTCAAAACTTTATGTTTTGTTTGCAAAACATTTTTTTATTTTGCAAGTATACAGTATATGGCCCTAGATTGACTCCATAGTGGTGGTCCTTCTCTGACGTCAGTTTGACAGCTTTAGCCTCAATATTCTTAACCACGCCCCTTTCACTTTTACTTTGAGGGAATGATACGCTAAAAAAGCCCCCTACTCCCCCTATGCCCCCTTTCAGTTGGAAGTACGTCTACATACTAAAATAAAAGTTTCCGAAACCTGGTTCACACTGGTTTAAATTAACTTTTTTGCTATAAACCCAATAACATAATGAGTCAAAAGAAAGTTTAAGTATGATATTAATTACTATTCTTTAGTTGATCTTTTATTTGAAAAATCCTGCATGAATCAGTTGTTTGTCAGATGGATTATGTGCATTCCATTGTGTGATGAAAAACATGCCTCTATCAGTTTATTGTTATTGATTATTAATAATAATATATAACACTTTTGACATTACAGTGCATTTTTGCTTTTACCAGTGTTTAAGATAGTATTTCCAAGAATTTTCCTTTTTAAATTATGATGTTCCTAAAAAACCCTGTACAAGGCTCAAAAATGATGAAAGTGAATAAATACAATAGCCTTAGCTTTAATTTAATTTTGTATCCTTAAACATAAATAAAGTTTATCTTTTGTGTGTCCTTGCTTCTTGTTATTGTCATACATGATAATAATGTGCATCATTCGTTTTATTTGGTTCATTTTAAAGAATTCAGTCTAGTATGATAAAATAAATAAATAAATAAATAAATAAAAAATAAATAAATAAATAAATAAATAAATAAATAAGTAAATAAATGTATACTTAGATTAATCTATTATTAAGATACACTTTTCTCATGTAATCACCTTTTCTTGCCAGCATGTAAACGATAGCTAATCTTAATAGAAAACCCTGGAACATATTTGAATTCTACTTGTACACCCCTTTAAAAACTTAAATTCACACGTGTGCATCTAAAAATTTTAATTAAAATTACACCCAGGTCCTTAAAGGCTAATATAAAAGGTAATAAATGTGTCATTTGTTATTGTTTTTTTTCCTCTGCTTTCTTCAGTCTTCCTATCAATTAGTGATAACCATTATTATTATTTTCAAAGTATTATTCTTTTCAAATACAGAATGCGAAGCAGCTTTTAGAGTCTATAACAACTTAATGATTATAAATAATAATTTTGTGAGATGGTGTTGAAATAATAAAAATGTAAAAAGAAATTGTCCTTCAAATAATTTTTATATCTACTGTATAACAGATTTATGAAAATCAAATGAGAAAACTTACTAACTTTTGGGGACAATACAATATATATGTGCTGTTTGCATTTCACATTGCACAGCCAAAATGATAATAATAATTTAAAAATATGTGTTATAATAATATAAACACAATAATAACAACGACAATAATAATTAGAGAGAAAAAGAGAGAGAAAAAAAGGTTAACTTTGTCGGGAATAACTAATAATTTTGTTCTTCTTTATTAAGAGTTCAAACATCTAAGGTAATATGATAAGCATTGCCAGATATCCCCCATCAATGCTGCATTTATTGACATTAATAAAACAGATCAAAAACAGTAATATTGTAAAATACAAAACATGATCAAAATTGACTTGTTGATGTGAACAATTTAAATGTTTATAAATATATATATATATATATATATATATATATTGGATATAAAATATAGAATTTTTTATATCACAAATTGAATTTTTGATAAGAAAAAATATTGTTCATATTAAAAATTGAATTTGTTAGTTTAAAAAAATATTGTTGATATCAGAAATTACATATTAACTCAATTATTGATATCAACTATTAAATTTGAATGTTTTTAAAAAACAAAGACTTTAATTGGTCATATCAAGAATTTAATGTATATTAATAATGAATAAAAATGTAATAGTTTGTATCAAGAATTGAATTTCAACTTTTAATATCAAATTACATTTTGGTATTAATAATTAAATTATTGATGATTATATTTGCTCTAGTTAATTGTCACCAGGCTGCCATGCTATTCAAATGTATATTTTTTATAATTGGTATCAAAATTAGATTTTTGTTTTTAGTTGAAATGTAATTTCTAATATCAACAATATTTTTCTAACTTACAATTCAATTTATGCATCCGCATTTTTTATTATCAACAATTAAAGATACCAAGAATTAAATTGTTGATTTAAAAAACTTAATTGTTCATACAATTTAATTGTTGATATAAATAATGTAATTGAACATATTATTCATGGAATTGTAAAGAAACAATTACATTTTTTATATCAGGAATTAAATTGTTGATATCACAAATGTAATTGTTGATGAGAAAATGTAATTGTTGCTATTAAAAATTTGTTGATATCAAGAACTGAATTCTTGATGCTGTATTAAAGAATTGTTCAAATAAAACATTAACTGTTAATATCAGAGATAGCCTACAGTTTCAGAATTAACATTTTGAGTAATACCATAAAATAATCAATACAAAATTATGACAAAAAATATGAGTCTCTAATAAAAAAAAATTCTATGTTGTAAAAAATATCTTGTTCTAAAAGCGAATGGTCCAACACTGGTAAAGTTTTGACCAGGTTTTTACGCAGGAGAAAAACAAAACGTTAAACTGCTACTCCCAAAAGAAACGCAAGATGGAGACAAGTCCACACGACAGACACTAGGCCTACAACACGTCACCGCACGGTCAGGTGTACAAGTTTTTAAATGTAAAATAGCGTGTTTTTTTGCATAACTTATCTTCATAGTTTGTAAAACATGTTATTTTTTAACTTAAACGATAAAACATTCATATTCTGCCACAAACACTTTAGAAAGACGAATGTTTTTATTTTGGGGGTCGCGGTGACGAGTGCTTGATTTAAATCTGTGCTGGTTAAACGTCGCTAGCAGTTTCGCACGTTTTCTTTTGTCTTTCTCCCAAATCCCGAGTCTGTGTCTTTAAACTGAGATTGTCTGAGCAGTCACTATTAATCATGTACTCGTCTAGTCCCACCTCTTCCTGCAGTAGCGCTGAGAGGGAGAAAGAGAGAGAGAGAGAGAGCGCAGATCCAATCTGATCATATGGAGAGTCGGACAGCGATGCCCGTGGTCGCTCTGCAGGAGTACAGCATATCTCTGAGAAATACGGACGACTGAGAAAATAACAGCGCTATTTTCCTGATAACTTCTTAGGATACATTAGCAAACCTAATCTTTTTAAGCAGCTGATATGAATAATATGTGAATTTTGCACCCGAATCTGTTCACAAGGGATCATCATTTGCCATTTAAACGACATGGGATGTGAATAGGTGTTTGAAGTGCACATGGATGTTTCTGCTATGCTGCTTGTTTGTCTTTCCAAGATAAGCTGAGTAAGTGTTTATCAGATGTTGAGATGATGTTTTGCATGTACACTGGACAAATGTTGGATATAAACTTATGCTTTGGGTGTATACATAAAAACAAGTGAATTCTAATGTCACTTTTTTCCACTAGTAAGAAAAACCTGCTGTAAGCAATCATGGTAGAACCTGTCGGTTTTGTGGAAGCTTGGAAAGCTCAGTTCCCTGACTCAGACCCTCCTGAGATGTCTTTAAACTCTGTCGGAGACATCGAGCTAGAACTGGAGAAATGCCGAAACTCCATTAGGCGACTGGAGATGGAAGTAAACAAGGAGCGATTTCGAATGATCTACCTGCAAACACTTTTGGCCAAGGAGCGAAGAAGCCACGACTCTCAGCGATGGGGATTCAATAGGGTCTCACAAAGTGAGCGAAAGCCAGCATCTATGGATGGCCATCATCAAAAACCAGATGGAAGCAGGTGTCTCCCAGCCAAACTGAAGCATTCGACAGCAGTAGAGGAGAGTCGTGAGCCTCAGCAATGTGTTGAGGTGGTGGGAGGTGATATTTCAGACTTAGACAAACAGAAAAACAGAGACGGAGAGATTGATGGGATGTCTCCATACAAAAAGAGGAGTGTTGAAACATCCCCCAGAGCCATCACTGGACGTGGACCTGTGTCCCAAGATGCGGATGGTATTTCAGAGTCTCCACCGAAGGTCACCTCTGGGTTGGGAGTTGCAGCACTTCGCTCCAACTTTGAACGTATAAGAAGAGCCAATTCTCAGTCATCTGGCGAAGGAAAAAGTGAAAGGCCTTACTACGTCAACATGGAGTACCACCATGAGAAGGGTCTTGTTCGGGTCAACGATAGAGACGTCTCAGAGAAGATAAGTAGTTTGGGCAGTCAGGCTATGCAAATGGAGCGCAAGAGGTCTTTGCATTCTGTCCCTGGAAATTTGTCCACCGCTTTTGGAGACATGCGAAAGCCAGAGCGATCTCACGAAAGAGCCATAGACAGTGGCTGCAACTGTGATTACGAGGACTCTGATTTGAACCCTGGGTTCCTCAAGGACAGTTCGGTAAGACTTAATGGAAGAAGAGCACCTCAGCAGAACTGGCAGCAGTCTGACTGTCAGCCCTACACGACTGTTTACGTTGGAGGCATAATGGGAGACGGGGAGGACCTGCACTTGACGTGGCCCAGGCGCTCTTACTCACCTGGGAGTTTCGAGGATGGATACACGCCAGATTGCAGCTCCAATGAAAACCTGACATCAAGTGAAGAAGACTTCTCCTCAGGACAGTCCAGCCACGTGTCTCCAAGCCCCACCGCCTACCGAATGTACAGAGAGAAGAGCCGCTCTCCATCCCAGCACTCCCAGCAGTCGTTCGAGAGTGGCAGCCCTCCCACACCACAGTCCCAAAAGCGTCTCAAGCAGCAGTTAGCACTCTCTGAAGCCAATAGCGGTGTCCGCAAGATCTGGCCCAGTGAGGGAAGCTCTAACAACTTCAGCAACAGTTTCCATGGAGATCTGGGTAAGACAGCATTCTTGCAGTGTTTACTTTTCTGTGTACTGTAGTGTTTGTTTGATGGGGTTTTCACAGGATTTCACTCTCCCACAGTAGGCAGGATAATGAAAAGAAAAGACACAAAGAACATAGACGTTTTATGAAAGGGTTTTTGTCTTTTTAGTGGATTTGCTGTTGTGCAGAGCTGCTAACATTTATCTGATTTGGATTGAGTTGAGAAAGTTTCACATTTTTAAATGCCTGCTAAACCAGTTAGGATGACTCTCTTATCAGAGAATTCATTCTCTAAAATAATATGTTACATATTATAAAAAAACATTTAAAGTGTGTGAAGGATCTGTTAAAGGCATGTTGCAACAGTCACGTTATGAAAGTTTAAACTTAATGTTCTTATTTTTTTCAACTTAATTAAGTTGATTTTTGCAAGTAATTGATGCATTTAAAAACTGAACTCAGAGCTCATAGATTATCAGTCCATTGTGAATGCTTTGTTGAACTTATCTTTTCACATTGATTCAGCTTTTTTAGGTTTATTAGCTCAATTTGTGCAGAAAATCTACATTACTTATGATGTTACAGAAAATTCTACCTATAACAATCATATTTAGCAAAGTCTAACTGAAGTACTATCTATCTCCCCCCACTCCCTTGAAGCATAGAAGATTTCATGATTGATTTCATCTTTCTGTCCTCAAAAAGTACATACATATTTCTATCTATATGCATTTTTTGCAACAAACTTAATCATTTAAATTTGCGTCATATTGAACTTTATCCCTCATTAAAGAAAAACTACAGGAAAAAATACCCCAGGACCAGAGATACTGAAGAACTGACAGGCCCTAATGCACTTTAATTTTATGATTAAAATGTCTTCAGTAGGTATGGGCTGGTAAAAGATTCTGATGGTATAATATCCTTGGATAAAAATATCACAGTTTCATGGTATTGTGATTACTGCTAAAAAAAAGTTCTTTTTATATGTTTGGGTGAAAACAGCTTTTTCCGCAATAAATTTTACTTTGAGAAACATTTAAAACATTTTGCAGCTCTAAATATGTCAGGCTAACTTGGACTTCATTAGTTTTGAAAACAAATTTTCTTTATTTCTATAGCACTTTTACAATGTAGATTGAGTCAAAGCAGCTTAACATAAAAAAAGATTATAGTATATTGAAACACTGTCAGTCCAAAGAAACACAGATTTCTTTACAATTTAAAATGGTATCTTTGGATATCTTTTCAGTTGGAGATACTGTTGTCCTAAAAAAACTAACAAAAAAATTGTAAATAAAAAAAAAAACTTACCCCTACCTTAGGAACGGTATAGCAGAAAATTGTGACGGTTTTAAAACCTTGACTTTTCCAAACCATGGTATACCTTGAAATTGGTTATCGTCCCATGCCTAGTCTTCACTGCACTAATAACAAAGCAGTGATTAAAATGTGCTGGATAGTGTACTGTTTAAAATATGGACATTTTAAATATAGATAAATACAGTATGTATTTTATTGACACAAATCAGAACAGAGTTGGAATCAAATTCTTATGATCTCCAACTAGTCGATAAAAAGTTATTTGAAGTGCGGTTTATTTATAAACTAATTTCGGGAGCATCACGAGCTTATGATTGATCACGGCTGGTCCTGCATCAGTTACACATATTGCGTCAATCAGACCAATACTAACCCGACTGTGAATAACATGAGTTTTTTACTTTAGTCATCTTCATATTGAAGAATCCCCCCTTCCACCCCTACTCCTCCCCCTGCTCCTGATAGGGCAGCATGGCGGTCCAGTGGTCAGCACTGTTGCCTCACAGCAGAAACGCCACTGGTGCAGCCTGCCAAACACGCTTTATTAGCAATCATCAAGTGTGAACTCTTGAAACAGTAATAACAACTGCCCAACGTAAACGATTACACTCAAAAACATACAATTAATACCTAACACTACAAATTACAAACATTACAAAAAGAAAAGTTTTAACTTTTCACCTAAAAATACATTTTAGAGAATAACATCATTCATTTCCCCTAAACATGCACCTTCAATTCACTGCCTGATAAATATACGATATAAAGTGGGTCTCAGACTGGACAAGAAGCACTGCATTAAATTCCATTTCCCCCGCCATGTCTTTAAAATATGACAGTTTATTTTACCCCTGTATTTTCATTTCAATAGAGTTTCTGCTCTCGCCTGTTGACGTCATTAGTTTCTTATATGGTCTTTCATCTCGTTTTACGCTTGAACAGCTAAATTAATGCTTAGGTCTGTTTAACTGAATGTATAGTAATTATATGACAACATCGATGCTGTAAAAGAAACCTTATGAAATTGAAAATAGTCACAAAAAGTTTATCATTGGCTGAAAAACTCTAGCTGTGCACATACTCCATTTTGTATTTCCGTTTATAGTTTTCTAAGAACAATACCAATTCCACTATCTTTGTGTAGGCTCTCCATGTGGTTTCTACCTCTTCTTATCATGCTGTTCATGATACGACTGGTCCGATCTTCAGTGTTTTAGGCCTAGAACGGCCCGGGGCAGTGCAGTCGCTCGCTCTCTGTCCACTCAGAGTGTTTATGCATCAGTTCACATTAGTGTTGTTGTCCTGCCGAGGGCTAATTAACCTAAAGGGGTCATCTAGCATGGTGAATTGACCCTGGCTTTTGGTTGGGGGAAGGATAAGAAACTAATTACAAGAAACAAATTGAGAGGAAGACTGAAGATTCAAAATGACACTCGACGCAAACGAGCAGACATCTGGGGTTATATTGGTTCTAATGGAAACACATTCAGTTGCTCTTCATTGTGAATGTGAGCTCAGATGAAATGCATTTGAATAGATGGTCACAATGCAAATGGCTTTACATTAGCTAATATATTAAGCCTGTGTTTTCTTGTGAATTGGGGGTCATCAGTGCAAAGAGCAGATGTTATTTGACTTGTGACAGTGTGAAGCAATCATGCATTTAGAAATGGTTTGGTTTTAATCTTGTCTTTTTCACAATCACTCGCCCTCATTCCTGGGGCATGCAGCAACTGCTTTTACAACTTTACTGTTCATGTTAGATGATAAACACTACAATTTAAAAGTACGGCTAAGATGTATTGTTTGTTGTTTAGAAATCCAGCATAAGTGCATTACGTTTTTCAGATGTGAGAAAAGAAAGTTAAGCAGCACAACATTTTTCAGCATTAGTAGTAATAATAAGAAATGCTTCTTGATCATCCAGTCAGCATTATTAAAATGATTTCTGAAGAATCATGTCATACTGAAGACTGGAGCAATAATGTAAACATTCAGCTATGTCAACACAGCAAGACGATACATTGTTGAATATATACAAATAATAATAAATTAAATTACTGATGTGGTGACCCCTGATTAATAAGGGGACTAAGCCAAAAAGAAAATCATTAAATTAAATAAAAAAATAATAATAAAATGAAATAAATTAAAAGTAAAAAATGTTGATATTATTTTTTTTACTGTTTTTAATGAGCACAAGAGAAAACATAAACGTACTGCCCCAAATATATACTGCATATAGCTGCACTATATTGAAAAAAGAAAACATTGTAATATTTAGTTTTTGCTATATATATATATATATATATATATATATATATAGATAGATAGATAGATAGATAGATAGATAGATAGATAGATAGATAGATAGCGATAAGAATTTTATCAGATAGTTTGAATAACCTTATTTGCATGAATTCATTAATTTAGACTGATTTGAGATTAGACTGTGAATCAATCATGCATAAAATAAACAGTTTTAAAGCATAAATAAATACAATTGAGCAAATATAAATGCAAAATGAAAAAAAAATGTTGAGGTCTTTAAGACCTTCAAAAAAAAAATGCAGATTACTTTATAGATTTCTGGGAAGTGCAGAAATGAAAAATAATATGTAATAATCATATGTAAAATAGCACTGTTATAGCATTTTTTATATAAATAAATAGGTTAATAAAAATAAATATTTATTAAAGTTACAAATGGTACAACTTCTTGTCCAACGTCACAGGTCTTAAAACACATGCAAAATCATGACTGTTAATCTTTTACGGTTAAACACTACAAATCTCATGTTTTTGAAATTATGGCTCTTGCTCAATTATAATCTCAACATTGGATATCTTGCGATGTGGCTATTGCAGAATTGCACATTGTGATATCAATGCTGAAACGATATATTGTACTTCACATAACATTTTTCACATTGTAAAAGATGAAAAATTAAAATTTTATGATCAAATAGTAACTTTTTGGGTCATTTTCTCAGCAGGCACACAACATCATAAGACGTTAATAAGAGGTTAGATTTAAATCGTAACATCAGGTCACCACAATTCAATGTGCCAGCATCTGAGGACAACGTTATTTTGACGTCCAATTGCTTGATATTTGGTTGATTTTAGGGTTTGTTGGAAAGTGACCAAAATCCAATGTCTTATAGATGTCATAGTGGTAACGCCCATACAACATCAAGGTGTAACATGATTAGATGTTGAAATTTGGTTGATTTTAGGTTGGATGTTGGACATTGACTTCGGTCTGACGTTGGGTTCTAACCTCAACCTGATTTTTTTTTGCAATACAAAATCCAACTTCCCCATGACAGGGTAAAACGGTAATACAGCGTCATGTTGGTATCCTGTGCCTGCAGGGTTATCACCCATTTGGGTAAAATTATCAGCAAATGTTCATTTTTGGTTATTTATTTTGGTTAGCTGAACACATCAGTACATTGTTCATGTTATTTCACATCTTTTGTTTTGTCAGGTCTTTAATTACCTCACTTTTGCATCATAGCCTATAATCGGGAACTCTAGATATTTACAGAACACCTCTTTAATTTACGTTTTCTAAAGGCAGTCTGACACAGAAATTACTGAAACCGGTAGACGACTTCAGAGACAAGAGCAAATTTCTCTTTTTTCAAGCATTAAAGAGCTCATCGTCAGTTCAGTCCAAGCTG